ACCAACGAAGCTGCTCAAACTTCATATGGAAGTACTAATTTGATGATATAAATTTAGTGGTAATATCTATTCAGAATTCTAGCTAATATATTTGTTTGTGTATGAGAAAATTGTGGCCTTAGTAGAACAGGCAAAAGAAGAAGGTCGAGAATTAAGTGAAGAAGATGCTATGGAAATAGCCCTCGGGAAAAGATCATCATATCTAAAGGGATGGGATATGGTCCGAAGCCACCCAGTAAAAAAGCATCGGCAGGATGCTCACAAGAATACGTTCTGACATTGGAGACCAGAGTTGCAAGAAATGAAGAATTATTATGGAGCCAACGAGAGGAATTATTAGAGGCACGACGTTTGCAGGCTAAACAACAAGCAAGGTCAACACAAGACTTACTTGATATGCAACGATAGGAATATGAGAGAAGATTTAGCCAGATGGAAGAAATTCTCAATAGCTTTAGAGGAAGAGGAGGAGGAAGTTCATCGTTGAGCAAGGTACGAACAATTTGAATTTCTTTGTGTTTGATTTTATGTGTTTGATATTGAATATGTATTTTTGTGAAGTTATTGATTTTGAGTATAATGTGTTTGATGTTTTATTGTTGAAGTTTGAAAGATATGGATGTGGTTTATGTTTATTGTTGAAGCTTGAAATTTGTGAATATGAAATTTGTTATATAGTGAGATTTTTATTGTTGGAGCTAAAATATGGATGTAGTTTACTTTTGGATGTGTGTGATGTTTTATTGTTAAAGTTTGAAAAATGTGAATGTTTATTGTTGGAGCTAAAATATGGACGTGGTTTATGTTTATTGTTGGAGCTTGAAACTTGTGAATATGAAGTTTGTTATATAATTGTTAGAATGTTGTTAAGTTTGTAAGTTTGTTGTTGGAGCTTCGATATAAATATATGTTATCATGGATATGTTTATGTGTAGTTTGTTATATTGTATATTATCATTTTGATTTTGGATGTATTTTTAAGGTCAAAAACATTGATCACATGAAATTATTTGTGCAGGATTGAAACTTGAAACTTGTCAAAATTCGAAGATTCCGTAAACTTGTCGCTGTTATTATATTAGATCAATGTGAAAAAAACTTATATTTTGACACATGACATATGTTTTGCTTTTCAAATTTGGATATTTTGTATTTACATTATGTTTAATTTTAAAGTTTACTGTGATTTACTATTTCTATATTATCATTTATCGTATTTTTTATAATTGCAGGAAATATAGCAATAGTAAGTAGTTAATATTGAAGTTTAGTTTTTATTTAGCGACGAAATAATGAAAACGTCGTTGTATTTAGCGACGAAATCGCATAATGCCACCATAAGAAAGAAAAAAACGTACCAGTAAAATATATATATATATATATAATAAATAAACAACGACGAAAATATAGCGTCACAATAGCATTCCAGCGACAAAAATAAATTATCTTAAAATCAGTGATGAAAATTGTTTTCGTCGCTGAAACTAGCAACACTAGCCTTTTCGTCGCGCACGTCCACTAACGACGCCTTTTACGCGACGCGCTTAGCGACGATAATATTTTTGTCGATGTTGACCATCAGCGACGGAAATGAAGGTTCATTCTCCTTGTAGTGTAAGGAGCATAGATGAAGCTGAAAAAAATGACACATTGAGTCTCTCACSATGAATTAAAAATTTTTAAAAATAAAAATAATAGAAAGTGAACAAATTTATTTTGAAAACAATTGTATTTAAATAATCAAAATTTTAAACAATATTAATAAGAAAAGTCCCTTCTTAAAATATTTTTAAAAAAAAGTAAGAAGAGACCATCTCCATATTTGAAAAGAAAAACAAATTAAAAAAAAAAAAACCAACATATTGTTTTAAGACTACACCYAGTATGTTAAAGCTCAAGACCAAGTTGAAGATACATGTCAACACAAATAACTCCATCACAGATTAGCATAAGTAATTTGCTTAAATGAAGAAATCAAGCAGATCCTCCAACGATAATTTTCATCTATTTTTAGTAAATTATCTYAACGTTCTATGCAAGTCAGTAAAGGCTCATTTTACTGTCCTTTCATCTTCCATAAGTCAACAAATAATATTTACATTCTCAAAATATTGGCTCAATTTTTTGTACCTAATTTGTTGGACAACTCTTTCCCGAGCAAACTCTCTAGTGTTTTATAAAATTGTCTCTGGAACAGAATGATCTATAGACAAATAATTAAAATAGAATATTTTAAAAAATAGTTTAGGTTATATTTTAAAAATTAAATATATTTTTTATAATATTAAAAAAAATCTTTGACTTTTTAAGTGGCCTATCTTTCTCCATAATAACTCATTTATGTTATTATGTTGTTCTAATTTAATTTCTACCCCCATAATTTCCATTTTCTAAATCACCTCATAATACTCCTTACAACTAAATATTCAACTCTGATGACAATCAAACATGGGTGGATACAATTCAAGATAAAATTTTATTTGAAAAATAAAAGAAAATAAAAATTTAGCACTAAACTTGATAAAATCTATCAATTTCCACCATGAACATTTTCTATGTCATCTAATTGGACCCTTAACATAGATAAGGGATGCAAAATTTACCCTAGACTTTTAATTTCTACCAATTCGTCCACTAAGTTTTACAAAAAGACAATGTATAAATCTTCTAAATCTCATTAATTTTATGGAAAATCAAGCTTTTCACCCAAATCCAATATTATATAACTTCTACAAGATTCACAATTTTATTAAAAAGGTACCACTTTTTGGGTCTGGTGCATGTAAAAAAACATTAATACATATTAATTGTTGTTATTATTATGCAATGATAGTTAAAAAAAATTAATTCCTTTATTCTTTTATTGGATAAGAACTAAATCAATCCTAAAAGAAGAGTCATACGCTTTAGTCACTAACCTAGTAGTATGTTGGCAAAAATTGGAAATTTTGTGAAATAACACTATTTTTTTCTAATTTGTCTAAAATAAATATAAATATATTTAAATCTTACATTTTTTTTTTGTTAATGTATGATTTAGTCCTTGAACTTTAATTTATAATGGTCTAGTCCTGTACTTTTAAACTCTACAGAAACTAAAATTGTTATACATTAAGAACTAAATTGTTACCGATACGAAATTACCTAGATTAAATTATTGCTAACGAAAATTGAAAACCTAAATCATTATTTCATATTAAATCATTACTTCAATAAAATTACAATAACCAAAAATGCTTTTTTAACCGTTTTCTTTCTACTCCTTACATAAATGTTTGGCATCCCAAACAAACAGTCCATTAAATTTAATATGTGAACCATAATAACTAAAAAATATGTCACATCATTACCTTATCTATACGCATCTATCTCTAATCAAAATGTCATGAATTCGAATCCCCGCCCTCACATATTGTACTAAAAAAGAAAAAAAAATCTTATCTGCATGTCGCTATCATGCAACCCCACACCTACTTTTCTAGACTATAAAAATATTAGCTTTCAATTATATATATTACCTGTCCATTACGAAATAATTGCAATGTCCAAGGAATAGCATGGAAAGGGATTCTTTTTTTAATAATGGTTTTATTTAAATTTATTTTTAAAATAATACTGCATTAAATAAAATTAAAAAAAAAATTTGAATCTTATTCCAAAAATAATCCTTTCGAAACTAATCCCCCACTTGGTCGTCTCTTGAACATGCCACTTTTATTAGTTGGTCATCTCTTGAAGAGACGACTATAAACATCACGTCTGATTTTTTAAAAAAATCAAGACATTGTAGTCTTTTGACTATTTGGGAACGATAGGACGACTTGGATATTAATAAATATTATTATTTATTATATTATATATTAAAAAGTAGAAGTTTGTTGAGTAAACCAAATAGTAGTACAGTGAATGATAGTTCAACTTTCTTCCTTCTTCTCATGGGTTTGATCCCCAGATACGCAGATTTTTCTTATTTTACAAGAAATCCAACTTTTTATTTATTTATTATTATTTTCTAAAACAATACATTATTATTATTATATTTTATATATTATGATTATTTATTATTTATATTTCAAAAAATATTATTTTTAATAAATTGCATATTTTTTCTTTTACAATTAATCAACTTTTTAGTTATTATTTTTTTAAATAATATATATTTTTAAATATATTAAAATATAAATAATAAATAATCATAATATATAAAAAAAAAACTAATAAAAGTGGCCAGAGACGACCAAATCAAGATTAATTTTAAAAGCATTATTTTTAGAATAAATTTCAAAAAATATATTTTTTTGTTAATTTTATTTAATGCAGAATTATTTTAAAAATAAATTTAAATAAAAACATTATTTAAAAAAAAATCCCATGGAAAGAGATTGAAAGCGGTTGCAACCATTTACATACAAACTTGAAAAATTATTTTCCATATGGCCTCTTGCCTCCTCTTCTAGGATACTTATAAAACACTACAAATTTACATTATTATTATTAAGCACTTAAAACGATTTACCGTAGAACTATGAGATAGTGATTACAATTATCTTTATCGACCCACACCAGTTAATAAGAAGATTGACCACACGAGAACACATGTCGAATTCTAGACAAATTTAAATTTTCTTACTCATCCTCCTCTTCTTTTAGATTTGGACTAATGCTTCCATATATCTACCCCATTAGTTTAAAGTTAGTGCAACAGTGTATGCTTTAAGCTGAACCACTTTGAAACTGTTCTCTATTTTAGTTTATCTTTTTGTTTAATCAACTGAAATTTCAAAAGCAATCTATTATCACTGAGAATTTTTGAGTGAACCAAAACCAAAGTTGAGGCTTTTTGCGTAGGACCAAGGTGGACAATAACAAATGAAAAGTTTTAATATTTTGAAAAACAAATATTAAATTTATTCTATGGCCGAAATGATCGCTCGACACAGTGCAGGGAGAACTCTTTATATGTTTTGATTTTCGAATAGATTTTTGGTGTGTACAAACTTTACAAATGGCTTCGGTTTGGTTAATTATTACCATACTTCCTCTATTTCTTCTCTTCAGCTCGTGGCTGTGGGTGCTCAGAAGCCACGCCAGATTGCCTCCTGGTCCTAAAGGATTTCCAATTTTTGGAAGCCTTCATTTGTTAGGAAAGCTTCCACATAGAGCTCTCCATCGCCTATCTCAAAAGTATGGCCCTATTATGCACTTGCGATTAGGCCTTGTATCCACCATCGTAGTCTCTTCTCCCGCCGCCGCCGAGCTCTTTCTCAAAACCCACGACCATGTTTTCGCCAGCCGCCCACTCATCCAGGCCTCCAACCACATTTCTTACGGTCGAAAGGGTCTGGGGTTCGCTGAATATGGACCTTATTGGCGCAATATTCGAAAAATGTGCACTGTCGAGTTGCTTAGCAATCTCAAAGTTAGCTCCTTTAGGTCAATGAGAAGCGAGGAGGTTGGGTTGTTGATCGACCATCTTCGAGAGGCTGCAAAAAGTGATGTGGTTGTAAATCTTAGTTCAAAAGTTACGTCTTTGGTTGCGGACATGACGTGTTTGATGGTTTTTGGGAAGAAATATGGGGATGAGCAGTTGGACGAGAGGGGTTTCAAGGCTGTGATACAAGAGGTGATGCAGTTGGCGGCGGCTCCTAATTTGGGAGATTTTATTCCCTATGTTGCTGGGCTTGACTTTCAAGGGTTCAACCGTCGTGCAAAATCTATTAGTAAGGTGATTGATGGGTTTTTGGAGAGAATTATTGATGAACATCTTCAGCCAAAGATTGGAAACAAAACTAAGGATTTTGTTGATGTTATGTTGGACCTCATGAACTCCCAAGCAACAGAGTACCAGATTGAACGATCAAGTATCAAAGCCATAATTCTTGTGAGTGTAGAATTATATGATTTAATTGTGATTTTCAACTTTCCCTTGATCTAATCGACTTAATGAACCAATTTTTAGGATCTACTCGCTGCGGCAGTTGATACTTCAGCCACTACAATTTCATGGGCACTATCTGAACTCATCAAGCATCCACTTTCAATGAAAAAAATACAAGATGAATTAGAAAAAGTGGTTGGTTTGGATAGGATGGTTGAAGATTCAGACTTGTGTAACTTAAAATACTTAGACATGGTAATTAAGGAGATTTTCAGGATGCATCCACCCGCTCCATTATTAGTTCCACATGAGTCTCTTGATGATTGTACTGTAGATAATTTTTACATTCCTAAGAAATCACGGATAATAGTGAATGCATGGGCAATTGGACGAGACCCAAACGTTTGGATCGATGCAGAAAAGTTCTTTCCAGAAAGGTTCATTGGCAGTCAAGTGGACATAAAAGGAAGAGATTTTCAACTTATTCCATTTGGATCTGGTAGAAGAGGTTGCCCTGGGATGCAAATGGGTCTTATTGTGGTTCGTTTGGTGTTAGCTCAACTTGTGCATTGTTTTAATTGGGAGCTTCCGAATGGTACGTTGCCAACTAAATTAAACATGACAGAAGAGTTCGGTTTAACCTGTCCAAGAGCAGAAGATCTCAAGGTTATTCCTATTTATCGTATTCTTTAGAGAAAAGRGTTAAAACTATTATTTGCTTGCTTTGCATAAAGGTATATATAATGATCGGTGTAAAATGTTTAAATTTCTCGATAAGTAATCACATTAATACTAAATCAAAGTCCCAAGATCCAAAGTCATGCATGTGCTTGACACACTTATTAATGCAAACTTGTCGTGGACTCATTATATGAAATAAAATAATTGAYTTCGTCTTTCTACAATATAGGACTTTGACATGACCCAACCCATGTTACTTTCTGGCACGACAATAATGGCTCGACTGTACCTTGAAGTTCACTCTCATACACTGACAGAACTTGCCATCAACTCACGAAACACAAGTAGCCAGGAACCGTTGTAATTTGTAAGTAAGAAACATTCCCCAAACTTTTGACCAAGTCTCCTCTAAATGTAGTCCAACAATACAAGTGCAAGACATATAAATCTGATTCCCTAGCTACGAGTCCTTATAAAATCCCAAAATAAAGTGTCTTAATAGTATAGTCAAACCATATACGTSCATACAAATTATCATTTGCATAATCTCTAGAGAAACTTGGAGCRGCTAACAACGATGYTAGACTCRTTTGAAACTCAAGTACTACTTTGTAGGAAAACAATGAATAAACAATGTACTAACAATTCCAATAAGGGATTAAGATTAATATAAGATAAATAACTAAGTAAGAAAGACGTATAATATGTTAAATTATAAATCATAGCTTCATTGAAAGCTAAAATACCTTTATAACTAAAGAATWGATTCTAGCGTTATATAAGAAAAATTGTTCACATTGCTTGGATCGTTACGACAACTCTAAGGGTGAATAGGATTAAGTGAACTTTAATAAACTTTTTAACCCAGGGTGAATAATTTAAACAAATAGGTGAACTTTTTACCAACAAATAATTTTCTCTAATAAATTAGAAATGCAAGCACCCTAGTTAATTTTACCACCCAAATAATTATAAGTAATTGAACTAAATAGTAGCAATTAAAAGTCACARCAAATCCTAACAATTATTTTCATGTCATTTATGATAATATAAAATTAATTGCAAAAATTAAATACGAGAAGGTTAGAGAGAAATTGACAACGATAATTTATAATGGTTTGGTAACATTGGCCTAATCTACTCTCCAAGCTTCTTGACTTTTTCCACAGTAGGAGTCAAACTGGTACAAACATTTTTTTTCCCTACAGCAAGAAGGAGCTCAAGAGCAACTCTTACAAATTATTGAAATCTAAAGAACAATCTTACAAACTCTCTCGAATAGTAGATTTACAAATATAAGCTTACAAAATTGGAACAAAAAATTTTACAAATAAAAGTCTTTAGATGACTAAAGAAAATAAAATTAGAAGCATGAATATCTCTGAAAGTAAAAATTTCCTTCACCAAATTAGAACAAAAATTGAAGTTTGAAAAAGAGATTAGCTATGGGAAATTAGAGGAGAAAATGGTGAAACAATTCTTTTTGAAATTTGAGAGGAGGATTGGTTAAATAGATAAATATTAGATTTGAAAAGGTTTAAAACCATCATTAATTTGGGCCATTTTGGATTTTGGTAAATAAAGATGAATGGATGAAATTTAATTGGAGAAAAAGATTAAAAAAAAAACGGATAGGAAACTGTAATCATGTACAATCTAACCTGTGG